TTTACCATAATTAAGTATAACTTCAAATCGTTACTTCTTTGTGTGTGTGTGTTTTCTTCATTTTTACGTTGAATAATCCCTATACATATACTACTATATTGAACATAACGGAGGTCATATTATGAATTAATTAGTATTATTTAAATATATTTTATTTAAAAACATTTTAATTATTGATTGTCTTTTAATTCATTAGAATATCTATTTATTCTTAATTAAATTATGTCTTTAACTAATATAATGATAATTATAATGATGAATATCTTATAAAATTTAAGAATATCCCATTCGAAAAAACTTGGACATGTAACAAAAACGAAAATTTTCAAAGCTAAAAATGCTCTGTGTCGACACTACAACGTGGGTAGCGGCACTCTTGTTTATGTCATCCTAGGCCCATACATATTTTCCAATGGCGTAAGGCATAGTGTTCACACGTAACAGATAGCTTCGACACCAAACCCGTGTCGGGTTTTTGGATCTCTCTGCAATTTCTTTAATGATAAAATACAATGAACAATTTAGTCCTATGACTTCATATTCATTCACGTAGATCCCTGAAAGCGACTCTTTTTTCTGCCAATACAGTCCCTCAACTTTTAAAGAATATTCAATCAAGTCCAAAAGCTTTGTTTATTATGCATTCAAATCCCTTTTTTCCAAATATATATATACATTTATAAATTCTATTAAAAACCACATCCTATTCATTTATCTAAAAAAAATCAAAACTAAAATAAGAAATTAAAATATATTATAACCTTAAATCCAACAAAAAAACAAAAGCTTAGAGCTGGGCCCAACTTACTAAAGCCCACATTACAAAATATTAACAGGCAGTGCCCAAGAGTGAGGAAACTAATACTAAGAAAAAAAGTCCAATTCAATTTAAAGTTTTCTAAAATCAAACCATGGGGAATGGAAATAGAAACTGGAGACTGAACTCCATTGGTTTTTTATGCTGAGTAATTGAAAATTAAATTATCAAATATGCGAGGGGAGAAGCCGAGATCTCAAATTAGACATTTACTTTAAAATTATGTAGCAAATTTCACTATTAATTTTACTAATTTTAAGGAATGGTAGACCTCTGTTAAGTCCTATTTGCCACTGTTATTAATAGTCATCATTACTTGATAATTCTGTTGTAAGCAAAGTGTCACAAAGATATTATAATGGAAGGACTTAGGATGCTTAGGTAACAGAATTAAATAAACCATAAATCAAATGATAAAATGTTATGAACTCATGCTCTAAAAATTTTAACTCAAGTTCAGTTTGATTTTGATTAGTTAGTTTACAATTCTCATAATTAATGTTAAAACTTTAATTTCTTTTAATTTGAATTGATATGTACTATAACTTAAGTTTATTTATTAAGAGAACAATAAAAATTAAAATATCAAGAAATATAAATAAAATGATTTAAATATATGTAATAATTTTTTTATATATTAATTTTTTAAAAAAATTTAGAGGCGAGATGTGCATCCCTCTATTGATATGATTGATATTTAAATAAAATAAAATTTAAAATATATTAAAGAAATAGAAAAAAGGATGAATATTCCCCCGTTTATAAAAATATACCGAATTTCTCTATTACCATTCGAATTGGGATAGCGTAGAAAACATTTCCTCCAACGTACCAATAAAAAAAAATGCATCGAAGACTTTCCAGCGTTTCCGCATGGCTCTGTTGGGTGTGAAATTCCATTGCAACTTAATATCAGGCTTAATCTCCTATTTAGTTTTCTAATTTATAAAATTTTAAAATTATTAGTTTTATATTAAAATTTAGGGATATTAGTCTATTAATAATAAAGCAATAATAAGAAGAATAAAAATTTAGGACAAAAATTTGATATCAATGATATAATTT